ACAGATCCATCTCATGACTGTACAATATACATCGAATAGATACGTTACGGAATCCTACAGTACCCATCGTCATGAACTGTACGATAGTACATCGAGACTGAAAGTTTCGGAATCTACAGACTCTATCGTGAGTGAACTGTAACGATATACATCGAGATGATAACGTTTCGGAATCTACAGACTCCATCGTCAGTGAACTGTAACGATATACATCGAGATGATAACGTTTCGGAATCTACAGACTCCATCGTCAGTGAAGTGTAACGATATACGTTGTGGATGAAAACGTTTTGGAATATACAAACTCCATCGTCAGCGATCTGTAACAATATACATCGAGATGATAACGTTTCAGAATCTACAGATTCCATCATCAGTGAACTGTAACAATATACAACGAGATGATAACGTTTCGGAATCTACAGACTCTATCGTGAGTGAACTGTAACGATATACATCGAGATGATAACGTTTCGGAATCTACAGACTCCATCGTAAGCGATCTGTAACAATGTACATCGAGATGATAAAGAGGGCATTTCATTAAAATATACGCGATACTCCTGATATACACACAATTAGGCTGTACAATATGTAGGAGATTAAAATTATTTTAAAACTGATTTTCTACAAACTTACCTGAGTGTCATGTTATTAGGACACCATACATATATATATTCACCGAACGCGTCTGAAGCCTTGAATTCAAACCTTGTAAACCCCAGTGGAATATACGACCAAGCAGATGACATAACATGATTCTACTTGAGTAATTTTCATTATATAGTAAAAATTAATAAAGAAATCATAGAGAACGAGCTCGTATTAGAGAGGAACAAACTTACTTTTCGAGATTGTAGCTTAAACTGAAGATGTTTGGTATCTTCCCGCTTTTATGGTGTGCTTAGTTCAGTTTTAGGGACATATAGGTCATATATATATATATATATAAGTATTTTAAATTGAACCTGTTAATTAACAGGGAACCTCCATGTTTCTTTGAACAGTCTAATATGACTGATTGGTAGAATCACAACATCGAAGTCAGCAATGGTTCTCATCTAACATTTTTTTTTGGTCCGTCCTGGTAAAATCGGTTAAAATCACTCCTAAAAACTCACCATTTCTGTAGGCTAATATTCAACTGTCTTAAGTAGAGTAAGTTAACCGCTCATTCAGGCACTCTGAGATACCATGTTTGTGTCAACGGACTTGCGGTAACTGTGGCGGCTTTTCCGTCGGTTCTTTGTAAATCACATTTCACTCGTGGAGGTTTTCTATAATGGCCACAAACGGCGAATCCTCGCGCGAAGCATTCAGAAGCGCGTCTTGAAGGATCTGGAGCAGACGGACTAAAAGCGGGAGTTTTTGTTACGTCGAGCCTGCACGTGAAGTTCGCGTGGTATTCCCAAAGCAGCAGGAATGGAACGTGACTGGGATGGCTGTTCTGCAGTAACTAAGCAACTGACTCACTAAACATAGAGTTGCTTTGTAACTGAAACAAATTTGTAAACGTTACTTATCAAGTCATCAGTAATCTATTTTGATAAATAGGGCGAAAAGAAAACAAAGAGCTCACTTAAAGCAGATGTGTTATTATAAGTCCACCGTAGTTTTTATAAAGTTCGTCCCTAAATAAAATCATTGTTTTTCAAGTCCTAAAAACTACAGAATGTAAAACAAACGAACTACTTAAATCGGACCTTTTCTTTTCCGTTTTTAAACAAAGCGAATTAAATGTTTGTTTGTAATTAGGCACAAAGCTACAAAATGGGCTATCTGTGCTCTGGCCACCACGGGTATCGAAACCCGGTTTGTAGCGTTGTAAGCCGCCAGGCATGCCGCTGTATCACTGGGGGGGGGGGGAGTTAAATCTACCACAACCAGTAAAACAATGCAGCAGTTTCTAAGTTCTTTGGGTGTTATTTGTTTTTAGTATTTGAACAAATAAACATCGTATAAAAGCGGGAAAGGTTAACTAAATCCAGTAACTTCCTTCGAGTCATGCTAGGAGCTGAAATTAACAATAAAACTACAACTAGGCGAGTGAATCAAGTTTCATTCACCTGTGGTAGTTTGATTGAAGATAAGGTTTGGATGATCTTCGTCAGGTTGTTACACCATCCTAGATGAATCGAGTTTCATTCACCTGTGGTATTTTGATTTAAGATAAGGTTCGGATGATCTTCGTCATGTTGTTACACCATCCTAGATGAATCTAGTTTCATTCATCTGTGGTAGTTTGATTTAAGATAAGGTTTGGATGATCTTCATCAGGTTGTTACATCATCATATACGAACTATTTTGAAACTTCTTTCAAGAACAATAAACTTATAAAAATTCATTTATAAGAGTTATAATACATATTTATTAATTACTACTAATTATTCTGATGGACTCAGATCCAAAGCCTAAAGTGAAAACATGAAGATGTTGTATTATTTTCATGTTAGAGTGTAAGTGGGCATCACGAAGATTTTATAAACGATAAAAGTCATAGACAGGTACATATCTCCATTCACATGACTTCGGTTTTACTTTGTTTGTTTTATGGCATAGCTGCACAACGGGCCATCTGAGCTGCGTCGATCGCGGGGATCGAGTCTCGAATCCAAGCTTCATAGGTTTTCGGACTTACCGCTGAGCCACCAGGCAAAACATACAGACTTATAGAAAAAAGCAAGTCTCGAACCCTTACCACGTGATTCGATTATAAAACATGAAAACCTTTTGGTTACGGAGTAGCCACGTGTTGCTGTTACAACGAATGTAACTGATTTTTTTTTGTGTCAAAAATCTCTTAATTGTTTCCACGGACACACATAAAATGTTGTATGACCAACACTGCAACTTTCACTCAATTACGGTGAAGATTAATCAGCCGAGATTTAACACATTTATTCTACACACGTACGGCACGAACGAGCAATAGCTCCGTACAATAAACAAAACTTTTGTTCAATTGTCCTAGCGAGTTTGATTCACTGAGAATAGAATAACCACCTGGAGTGGTATAGAAACAGTAATGATAATAATAAAAAAGTATCCCATTCTTTATAAATACGGGTAAGCCACAAGTCAGTCACTATGTTAATTGCAACAGTTAACAACATCCCGTCAGTCCGATTACCCGAAAGCTCGTGCAGTATTTACCATTCTCCTCTGTAGATTCACTTCCCCGAAAGGGAGCCGAAGACCGCCTGGAGGGATAACCTGTTTTAACCACTCGCACCACAATACAGTAGTGTTGTCTGTCAGTCAGTCATTCGGTAGACACTAAAATGACGTTACATAAGGGACACTTAACGTTGTATTTTGTACTGTTGTAACGTAAGTAAAACGTGCGTATGCCATGAATCACGAGAAGAATTATTCATTCTGTAGGCTACAACTCAACATGATATACGAACTTCAAAAACAAGAAATAAAAATATTTGTTACCCTTAGTTTTGTTTTTATTTACAAAACACTTTCGGGGATCCTACAGAAGTACATCTAATATTTAAAATATTTACGATAAACTCCAGTAATTCTAAATATGAATACAAAATGTCCCGACACAAATAAATTTGTTCAGTAATATCTAAATATTGTTTTTTCGTTGTTTCCTATTGCAAAGTTTTGCCTAGCAGTCACCCATGTGGTTATCTTATGTACAACAAAAAATACTTCAAATATTCTATCTTTCGGCGTAAAAAACTCATCAGGAGATCGAGATGAACTTGTATGAGTTTTGTTGCTAGATATAGTTATTTGAAACTTCCGGCGCTAAAAGCAAAAACGCGTCGAGACAGAGCTACTAATGAAATTTTCCAGGATGAACCAGACAGCGTGCTTTTGTGTGAATCTCGTGTTTTTAATACGTTTTTTAAGTCACGGTTAGTAATTAGTTCAATGAAAGCTAGAGGTATGGTGCATGTCAAGATACCCTAGTTCGTATCGCGGCAAAACTGTCTCTAACTTATTATGTTAGTAATCTATTTCCTGAGAGTAATGAGCCTTTCTAAGGCTTGCTTAGCTCTAGCAACAAACCTTTAACGTGAGTAATAATGCGTCTAATAAACTTTCTTCGTAATATTACTATAATAATAAGAAAAATAATCAATTATTGTGTTCCGTGCGTACTCATTAAGAGAAGAAATAAATGTTAAAATGTTGTAACGTAGACTTTAAAGTGTGTTTTTTTGTGTTATGTGATATTTTAGTAACTTCAAATTTTAGGACTATACAATTAGTGAACGTTTTTATTCAGTTATATAAGTGTCGTCATTTTATATCGCTACTGAATCAAAATATACGTTTCCGAAACTGTTTTCCAGCTATAAGCACAGCGTACAATATGTCAGAACAATGTATAACAAATCAAGTATGTTATAACGGGTCAGAATAATCTATAATAGTTTAAGGCCTTGTGTAACAGGTCAAGACAATGTATAACAAATCAAGTATGTTATAACGGGTCAGATCAATCTATAATAGTTTTAGGCCTTGTGTAAGATATCAAGACAATGTATAACAAATCAAGTATGTTATAACGGGTGAGAATAATCTATAATAGTTTTAGGCCTTGTGTAACATATCAAGACAATGTATAACAAATCAAGTATGTTATAACGGGTCAGAATAATCTATAATAGTTTTAGGCCTTGTGTAACAGGTCAAGACAATGCATAACAAATCAAGTATGTTATAACGGGTCAGAATAATCTATAATAGTTTTAGGCCTTGCGTAACAGGTCAAGACAATGCATAACAAATCAAGTATGTTATAACGGGTCAGAATAATCTATAATAGTTTAAGGCCTTGTATAACAGGTCAGGACAATGCATAACAAATCAAGTATGTTATAACGGGTCAGAATAATATATAAAATAGTTTTAGGCCTTGTGTAACAGGTCAAGACTATATAACAAATCAAGTATGTTATAACGGGTCAGAATAATCTATAATAGTTTTAGGCCTTGTGTAACAGGTCAAGACTGTATAACAAATCAAGTATGTTATAATGAATACTGAAAATGAGTAAGATCAGTATATAATAGGCCAGAATACTCTATAATAGGACATAAGATCAGTAACAAGCCATAATAACGATAATAGTTAATAACAGTGTAGAATAGGCCATAACGTTGATAATAGGTAAGAAAACCGTATAATAGGCTAGAACACTGTGTAGTCTGTCTTGTTTGAAAATAACGGTGAGGCTATCAGTGAAAATTGGGGATAACACAAAGCCATATTTAGAGGGGTCTGATCCCCCAAGGCCTAAATTATGATACAGGGTAAGGATAACGAAAACTCGGTATTTAAAATGATTATCTCTACAGAATGATTTAATGGAACAAAATTTCCTCAGAGAGACATTGAGACTGATAATCTTTATTCAAGATAGTTTGGACATCGTACAGGGTGTTTCAAAAAAGTCACAGCAGATGTTCAATATGTTTACCGTCATCGTCAAACAGTTCATCCCTAGATGAAGCAACTGCAATCATCATCTGTTTAAAACAGTGGCCACCAATCCTCACAATCTCATGTTTAATAGCCGTTTTGAGATCCTTCGAATTGTTTGGACTATTTCGATAGCCATTTCCAAAAGTTTGCTGGTTCAATGTCCGGAGAACTCTTCTAACATATCTTCCTGAATAACTTAAGTTCAAGCGTTGGTTAAGAACCTTTTAACTGGGCGAGAGGCGATGGGTTATTGGAAGATGGTGTTCTTATGATAGGACAGATATGGTGGGTTGTTCTGTCTTGTTGGAAGATGGTGTTCTTATGGGACGATAGATATGGTGGGTTGTCCTGTCTTGTTGGAAGATGGTGTTCTTATGGGACGATAGATATGGTGGGTTGTCCTGTCTTGTTGGAAGATGGTATTCTTATGGTAGGACAGGTATGGTGGGTTGTCCTGTCTTGTTGGAAGATGGTGTTCTTATGGACAGATATGGTGGGTTGTCCTGTCTTGTTGGAAGATGGTGTTCTTAAGGCAGGACAGATATGGTGGGTTGTCCTGTCTTGTTGGAAGATGGTGTTCTTAAGGCAGGACAGATATGGTGGGTTGTCCTGTCTTGTTGGAAGATGGTGTTCTTAAGGCAGGACAGATATGGTGGGTTGTCCTGTCTTGTTGGAAGGTAGTGTTCTCATGAAACAATGGATGCACTTTGAGACTTAGAATAACAAGTGTTATTCCAACATTTTCTCATAACGATCAGCTTCATCACCAACTTCTGTACAATAACCCTATAACTTTAGGACAGTTTTTACGATGTAATAATTTTAAATAATGTTGTTTTATAATTACCCTCTACGTGTAGCGTTACAGTTACATATAGCCAATATTTTGATATTTTATCGTCCCACAGAAAACGTGGAAAATTTCAATTACTAAAACGGAATCGACACTCCTTTTGTTTGTTTATTTCAAAATTTCACGCAGAACTACACAAAGGGTTGTCTACTCGTAGCTGTTCCAAGA